GAGGTGGGGCAAAATCTTCTTGGCTTGCCACCTCTGGATCCCCGACCGAAGCTGTGCCTTCACATCGAGCGGAGCGGTTCGCAACAGGTCAATCGGAAAACCTAGGTCGTCCACCAGCACGTGCGCAGCAGACATGGTCCAGCCTACACGGAGCAAGCTGAGCAGCACTGCGCTAATTGGGCCACGACATGACTTCCACGTCGGCCGCTCGAGGATCCGTGCCTTGACGGCCATCCACGCTTTTTGGAGTCGGCCTAGCGAAAACCTCGAGTCCCAAATTGCAGCTGCATAGCGTTGGATTAACGGCACCGTCGCATCGAAAATGGGTCATAAAAGGGGTCAGGCTGTGTCGCTAGCCAAGCCGTCAATGACCCAGATCGCTTCGCGCCCACTAAGGTTCCCGCCATAGTGCGGAGGGTCCCAAGGGTCGGATCTGTGAGCCCAGAGACCCCAGCCCCATGCGACCCAGCACGCATACGCCCCGTACGCCATAAAAGACTCACCTTGCTAGGCGCAGCTCGACGGAGGGCAGACAACTTGTCCCGACGCCGAAGCAATTTCTTCAGACGGAGCTCTTCTTGGGCCCGCACCGGCCGTCCAGAAAAACTTCAGAGGCTGCGTCGGGCGCACTAGCCCCTGGGCCATGGCCCCAGAAAGAACGGTCACGCTTGGCCTTCTCCCAGGCCTGGGAGACAGGTTTTCTCACCCGCCCCCAAAAGGCGGAGCAGAGAGTTTTAAAGCGCAATCAACCGACGCCCTCCAGAGGGCTTGGGCAAGCGGACTAAACGGGTTTGGATCCGAGGCTCAGGCCAGGCAAGGAGCCTTTCGCAGGCAATGAAAAGATCAGCCACCGATTGCAAGCACTGATCGGAGACTGCGAGCAGGGACCTAGGGTTCAAGCCGAGCTGGCCTAGAGCTGTCTTACAAGGGGACGTAGCGCAGGCCCTACGGAGGTCGGCGACTGAGATCTCAGGCGAAGTCTCCCAGTCATGGTGATCTCTAGGTAGGCCCACTCGCTCGCACTTGTGCATCTTTCAGATCTCCTCCCACTCCGCGAGGCAGTCGTCTGCCTGCTGGAACGGCTGTGGGCGAGACGTCTGCGCAATCAGCTCCTGCACCTCACGCACGCGGGAGAACTTGCGCGCAGCTCCTGCACCCTTGGTAAACGCCTGCTCGACCCACTGCTTCCAGTCAGCCCGTGAAGCATCAGCAAACTCGTGCAGCTTGACCTCGATCTCATCGAGGAAACCCTGGGCGACGTCGTCGAACCCTGCACTGCTGAAGCTGTCAGGTACGTCCACAAAGAACTCCCTGATGGACTCCGTGGACTCCTCCAGCACCCTAGCCGACTTGCGTATGCGGTTCAGAAGCCCCTGAAAGAAATAGAACTGCTTGGATATCTGCTCCAATCTGTCATCCGCGGGGTCGGGTGCATACTCGACGGCAAGCTGCGACAATTTGGTGCGGACCGATCGCAAGTGACGCAACCATCGGCCCAGCGTTCGCCACGTAAGCTCCGCCTTCGGCAGAGGGGGGGCCTGCTTCAGCAGCGGCATCCACGAATACGAAGGTGGGCCAGCACGCCCGCAAAACTTATGCCGCACTGAGGACTTCACGATATCGTTGCGGTCGCAGAGCTCAGCCTCGATACCTGCAAGAACGTCGTCCCAGCGATGAGCCAAATCATCTTCAGAAGCGGCGTGGCTGATGAGCGACTGGATCTGGGCCCACTTCTCGACTGGTGGGAACCTCGCACAACCAACCTTCGGCTCAACTCCAAGCTTCTGTGGCTCATCAGGCACGCGACGACGCGTGCTTCTCTCCGCCATGCCCAGCTCCAGAATAACGGGTTTGCGCGGAAAGAGGTCGGTCCCTTCCTCGACGGTCAGCTCACCCACGGCAGGGACAAGGGACAGGGATACCAAGAAGACATCGCGCACAGTGCCTAGGAGCGACTGCGCACATGTGGGCACCAGGGGCGCTACTCGGATAGCTCCTGCCGCGTGGAACCAGTCGTCCAGCAGGTCGCCCTCCATGTTCCAGTCCCCGCCTATGACCCACGCAATGCCCTGGCGCGACAGCTGGCTGGCGTAGTCACCGGCCGCTTGCACAATCTCCAGGTTCTGGGCTCCGAGGCCCTCTCCGACAGCTAAGTACACGGAGAGCAGGACAACGCCACCTGCACGGTCCCAGTGGGCGTGCGCAGCCGCCAGGCGCCTTGGGATCAGCACGTGGTGGGCGCGCTGAGGAGGGGCTGAGACCAGAACATGAGCAGGGGCGATCACGGCAACACCACCGCATGAGCCTCCTCTGCCTGTGTCAGTCGCCTCCGCCCACACACCTCGGAAACCTATGGCGGCCGCCTTGGACTGCAACCCAGCAAAACGATCTCCTCTCGCGTGGTGCTCCTGCACCAATATCAGATAACTATCAAAACAGTAACTGCTCAGCATATCTAACAGCGGTCCGTGGGAGGAAGTGTTAGCTGTAACCGCTCCTCGAATCGGTCTCGGCGTGCTCGACCTGCCTGAGGCGCCACTATGACCTGACACTGTGCGTGATAAATTTCGATCACCGCGTGTGACAAAGGGTTTGGACGAGGGAGCCTCCACCGCCTCGAGCACCACGGCGCCCGATCTCGGAGACATGTAGTCTGGCAGGTGGAACTTGGGCGCATGACCATCTCCAGCTGCCGCTTCGCATGTTGGGGCCGCGTCCCCTGCCCCAGGGTCCGCCCCATCTCCAGCTGCAGCGTCAGCTGCCTGCTGGGGCAAATTGGCATCTCCACGACGACCACGATGATGTGCTGGTGCCTTCCTGACCTCTCTGCCCGTTCGCGTGAGGTGCCCCAGGCTGCTGGTGCCCTCAGCGTCACGAGTGAGTGCGGTACCACAGGATGCACCAGCCATAGCTACGCCGCCGAGCCCTGAAGACGCCGGATACGCAGGCCGAGAGGCAGCAAGGGCCGCGTCCCTTGCCCCAGGGACCGCCTTCTCTCCCGCGGCTGCGGCAGCCGCCTGCGGGAGCATGTGGACGGGCAGCGCACGCCCATCGTGGCACCTCGGCATCGCACCAGCGGAGCTGAGGAGCTGCAGCAGGATCGAGACGCCCAGCCACAGCTTACCTGTTGGCGGTGCGAGGCCTCTCCGACGCCCTGCTGAGCTGTTCGCCGAACCGCTTGATGTGTCCTCGCAGCTCCTCCTCGCAGCCAGGGGTCTCGGCGTCGAAGACCTCGCGGTAGAAGGTTTACAGCTCGGCCAGATCGCCATCATCCGCAGGGACAGGGAGCAGCACGGCGTCACCATCATCCCCAGGGCCTGCGCAGCTCGCCGCGGCGCTGGCAGGCGTCTCGGCTGGAGCAGCTCTCTCCTGCGGGCGGCTCCGCGCCGCTGCAGCAGCATCGAGCTCGCGCAGCTTCGCGAAGTTAGCCTGGATCGACTCGGCCAACGACGAATCCGCACCGATCGCCTCCAGCATCTTGCCAACGTCGGCGACCGACAGGTCCAGGGCGGGGATCGTCGCTTTGAGGGAGTAAACCCCACCCAGCCTCTGGGCGGGGCGCCAGCGCCGCAGCGCTTCGCCTGTCCGCCTCGGCGGCCACAAGCTCCTTGGACGTCTCCAGCAGCGCCTTCTCCGCTTCGGCGACCGACAACTGGATCGCGTGGATCTGCGCATGGAGCTTGTCCAGGGCTGCGAGCTGGCGCTCCTTCTTCTTCTCGAGCGCCGTGCAGCGGTTCGTGAGGAGGTGGAGGCGGGCGCCGATCGGCTTGTCGGCCAGGATCTTGGCCCTGAGCCTCTCCTGCTCCGCCACCATCGCGGCCTTGTGTGACACCAGGAGCTCGTCTGGGGCGTCCCCGATGGCGGCGACGGCGGCAGCGAGCCGCTCGAGCACCGCCGAGCCAACGGTCTTGTCACCAGAGCTGTCGACCTGCATGGCCGCTGACCCACCACCAGACTGCTTCGAGGCCTCGAGCTGCTTCTTGAGATCCTGAATCTCCCGGTCCTTGGCGGCGGCCTCCTTCTTGAGACGCTCACCTTCGGCGGCAGCACGTCGCTCAGCAGCAAGAGACCGAGGGGCCTGCGACGCGCTCGGCCCTTTGCCTCCTGCAGGTGGGCGCGGGCCGAAGTAGGCAGCACCTTTGGCGAGCTTGCACGCCTTGCAGTGCGTGCAAGCCGCCCGATTCCACCATCTCTCGCCCGTCTTGTCGTTCGTACACCACCTGCAGAGCCAAGCATGCGCATTCTGAATGCGATTCTGCTGGTGACCAGATGGCGCCATCGACCAGCCCCTGTGACCTGGGGCGGGGGCACCTGCGGGCCTGAGGGTGGCAGGTAAATGGAAGGACTGTCGGGCTTCAACAGCCCTGGCACTGGCCGCGGACTGGCGGTATCCACTTGTTTCCCTGGGAAACACAAAACCTTGAGCCAAAATGGCTACGGAGTAATAAGAGGAGGAGGAGGTGGAGGAGGAGGAGGAGGAGGAGCAGTAGGAGCAGGAGGAAAAGGAGGAGGAGGAGGAGGAGGAGGAGGAGGAGGAGGAGGAGGAGGAGGAGGAGGAGGAGGAGGAGGGGAGGAGGAGAGGAGGAGGAGGAGGAGGAGGAGGGAGGAGGAGGAGGAGGAGGAGGAGGAGGAGGAGGAAGGAGGATGAGGATGAGGATGAGGAGGAGGGGGCGGAGGGGGAGGATGATGAGGAGGAGGAGACGGAGGAGGACGGAGGAGGAAGAGGATGCTGCTGCTGCTGCTGATGATGGATGATGATGATGATGATGATGATGATGATGATGATGATGATGATGATGATGATGATGATGATGATCAGGAGGAGGAGGAGGAGGAGGAGGAGGAGGAGGAGAGGAGGGGAGGAGGAGGAGGAGGAGGAGGAGGAGGAGGAGGGGGGAGGCGGCGGAAGAGGAGGAGGAGGAGGAGGAGGAGGAGAAGGAGGAAGAGGAGGAGGAGGAGAAGGAGGAGGAGAGGAAGTGCGCCTGCCCCGTCTGGTCCAGGTGCCCACCCTGCTCGGGGTGCTTCAGGGCAGCCCCCTGCCGACAGGTGGCGGTTTCGTCAGCTCCTCCTTTTTTTCTTGCCGCTGCGACATCTGGAGGAGGAATGAGCAGGCGGATGAGATGGAGGAGGAGGAGGAGGAGAAGGAGGTGGAGGAGAAGGAGGAGGAGGATGAGGAGGAGGAGGGGGGCGGAGGAGGAGGAGGAAGATGAGGAGGAGGGGTGACTTGTCGCGCTTCGTCTCGCTGCTCTACCTTGTCGCCTCGTGTTCGGCGAAGGTCCGAGTAGTAGCGGATGAATGTGAGACCTTGTTGAAGGAGGGAATCGAATGAGGAAATAAGCTTGTTGGAGGCGGAGGGGTTTTGAGGATTAGGCGGAGGATGAGGATGATGATGATGAGGATGATGATGATGATGAGGAGGAGGAGGAGGTGATGGAGGAATCTGCGGAGGGATCGCCCTGCTGCTGCTGTTGCTGTTGATGGTAATGAGGCTGATGCTGATCGAGATGATGCTGCTGATGATGTTGATGCTGATTATGATGATGCTGATGCTGCTGGTGATGATGCGAATGCTGATGATTGTGATGATGATGCTGACGATGCTGATAATGATGGTGATAGTGATGGTGTTGGTGATAGTGCCCGTGATGGTGATCAAGGTAGAGACGATTGCGATGCTGATGATGCTGATGACGATGCTGACGATGTCGACGACGATGCTGGTAATGGTGGCGATGATGATGCTGATGCCGATGACGATGACGACGGTGATGATGGTGGTGATGATAATGCTGATGATGATGCTGTTGCTGATGCTGCTGCTTCTGCTGCTGCTGCTGCTGCTGCTGATGATGATGATGATGATGATGATGATGATGATGATGATGATGATGATGATGATATGATTCTGATGATGACAACGGTGATGGCGATGATGCTGATGGTGATTATAGCGATGATGATGCGGAGGATTATGACGATGCTGATGATGCTGATGATGCTGCTGCTGATTGTGATGATGACGACGATGCTGACGAAGCTGACGACGATGGTTGTGATGATGATACTGATGACGATGAGGGGGATGCTGGTGATGATGATACTTCTGATGATGCTGCTGATGATGATGTTGATGATGATGCTGATGAATAGGATGGTGATGCCGATGATGCTGATGATGCTGATGATGCTGATGATGATGCTGATGATGATGAGGATGATGCTGATGATGAGGAGGAGGTGGAGGAGGAGGATCATGATGATGATGATGTTGGTGGTGATGATGCTGATGATGATAATGCTGCTGCTGATGATGATGATGGTGGTGGTGATGATGATGATGATGATGATGCTGCTGCTGATGATGATGATGATGATGATGATGATGATGATGATGATGGTGATGATCCTGCTGCTGGCCCGCTGGTCTCTTCAGCGCGCTTTGGCTTTTCCAGCTCCGAGCGCCCGCCGCTGGCTTTCTGCCGTGGCTCCTCGCCCGCCCAACTGTGGCGTGGCCCCCGTCGCGCTGCCGCGCGTTCGTCTTTACGCCCGCCTGCCTGGCGCGGCGTCGCCTTGCTGCTGCCCCTCTGCGCTCCGCCGCTTGCGGCCCCGCCCGCCCGCTGCTCCGCCGCCCCCGCGGCCACTGCCCGCTGCCTGCCCCTGCCGCCCCCAGCCACTGCCCCCTGAGGGGCTGGCCGTCTCCCCCTTTCTTTTCTCCTTCCGATGCTGCACGCTCCGCGAGGGGCGCCCCACGCGCTGGCGAGCTCCCGCGCCGCTACGACCGAAAAAGTGTTTGTGTGCTTGTGTGCTTGTGTGTTTGTGTGTTTGGGTGCTTGTGTGCTTGTGTGCTTCTGTGCTTGTGTGCTTGTGTGCTTGTGTGCGCTTGTGTGCGCTTGTGTGTGTTTGTGTGTGTGTGTGTGTTTGTGTGCTTGTGAGTTTGTGTGTGTGTGTGTGTGTGTGCATCGTACCCGCCTCGGCGCGCCGCGCCGCTTTCGGCCGCCGGCTCGCCGTCCCACCTGGGGCCTGCCCCCTTCCCCGCCCGCCCGCTGCTGCCCCGCCGCGGCTCGCCCCGGCGCCCAGCCCCCCCCCCCGCTGCTCCCTGGTGGCCCGCGCCGCCCCCCTTGCCCGCCGCTGCCTGGCTGCGGCTGCTGCTCCGCCGCTGCCCCGTGAGGGCCCGGGGTCACTTTCTCTCTGGCCGCCGCGCACGCGGCCGCGGATTTTTGCACGGGCTGGCGCGGCGCCGCCCCGCTGACGCCCGGCCCGTTTTGCGTCCTCGGTCGGCCCCTGTCGTGGCTCGCCCTTCTGGCCTTCGCTTCGCTCGCCTTCGGGCCCTCGATCGGACCCCGCTGTCGCTCAGTGCGCTGCTGTCGTTTTCCCCCACGTGTTTCATGGGGTTCTGGTTTTCTTCACTGCCGCGTCGCACCCGCGTCTCCATCCTCCCCTCCTCCTGTTCCTTCCTCTCCTCACCCACGCGCAACGCATGCACGGCACGTGCATGAGACACGCGTCCGCATACAGGGGCACACATATCATACACATGCACAAGACACACAATAACTACACAATACACGCATACACACACGCGCACAGATACACACACGCACTAACAATGCTAGTATGCGCCTGGCATGTTCACTGTGTCATACACCTAAGACGTATGCACTACACACGCCCAGATACGGCCGCACACGCATCATACACATACACACGGTACGCCATATGCAAGACATACGTGTAGGATTCGCAGTGCGTGGCAGGCATGGCGCTTGCTTGACACCACAGGGGGTGCGCAGAGGGTGGTCCCTCAGCGCGGCCTCTATCCGTGACACGCTCGCAGTACGTGGCAGGAGTGGTACTTTCTCGACACCGCAGGGGGTGCGCGGAGGGTGGTCACTCAGCACGGCTTCTATCCGTGATACGCTTGCAAGACGTGGCAGGAATGACATTTTCTCGACACCACAGGGGGCGGGCAGAGGGTGGTTCCTCAGCGCGGCCTCTATCCGTGACACGATCGCAGGGCGTGGCAGGAATGGCACTTTCTCGACACCACAGGGGGCGCGCATGGAGTGGTCCCTCAGCGCGGTCTCTATCCGTGACACGCTCGCAGGGCGTTGCAGGAGTGGCATGTTTTCGACATCAGAAGCGGTGCGCAGAGGGTGGTCCCTCAGCGCGGTCTCTATCCGTGACACGCTCGCAGGGCGTTGCAGGAGTGGCATGTTTTCGACATCAGAAGCGGTGCGCAGAGGGTGGTCCCTCAGCGCGGCCTCTATCCGTGACACGCTCGCAGGACGTGACAGAAGGGACAATTGTTCGACATCACAGGGGGCGCGCAGAGGGTGGTCCCTCGGCGCGGCCTCTATCCGTGACACACTCGCAGTACGTGGCAGGAGTGACACTTTATCGACACCACAGGGGTGCGCGGAGGGTGGTCACTCAGCGCGGCTTCTATCCGTGACACGCTTGCAGGGCGTGGCAGGAATGACCCTTTCTCGACACCAGAGGGGGTGCGCAGGGGGTGTTCTTTAAGCGCGGCCTCTTTACGTGCCCGGGTCGGAGAGCGTGGCAGGCGTTGTGTTCTCTCGGCGCCAGAGAGGGTGCGCAGGGGGTGGTCTGGCACCGCGGCATTTTTTATGAGGGTCTGAGAGCGTGGGGGTGCGCAGGGGTTGGTTTTTCTCACGGCGGGTCATGTGCGTGCCAGGGTCGGAGAGCGTGGCAGGAGCGGCACTCTTTCGGCATCAGGGGCGGTGCGCAGGGGGTGGTCTCTCAGCGCGGCCTCTATGCGTGCCAGGGTCGGGGAGCGTGGCAGGCGTTGTATTTTCTCGACTCCAGAGAGGGTGTGCAGGGGGTGATCCCTCACCGCGGCCTTTCGTGCGTGCCAGGGTCGGAGAGCGTGGCAGGCGTGGCACTTTCTCGACACCAGAGATGGCGCCAGGGGGCGGTCTCTCACCGCGGCCCCTATGCGTGCCAGGGTCGGAGAGCGTGGCATGAGTGGCATTTTCTCGACACCAGAAAGGGGGTGCGCAGGGGACGGTCTCTCACCGCGGCTCCCATGCGTTGCAAGCTCGCAGGACATGGCGTGCGTGGCATTTCCTCGACGCCACAAGGGGGTGCGCTGGGGGTGGGGGCGCTATGCGCTGCAGGCTCGCAGGGCGTGGCGTTTCCTCGACGGCACAAGGGCTTGCGCTGGGGGTCGGGGCGCTATGCGTTGCAGGCTCGCAGAGCATGGCAGGCGTGGCGTTTCCTCCTCGCCACAGGGGGTGCGCAGGGGGTGGGAGCGCTATCCGCCCTAGTCGTCCACGTCACAGGAGGCGTGGCACTTGCTTAACCACTTAGTATTGTCCACGTAGGTTGCACGTCAGTTATGCTAAGACAAGAATTAACGCGTCGTATGCGGGGTTCCTCGGTAGCGTAATTGCCGGGCTACGTCCTAAGGCTTGACGCCAACCCACGTCCAAGAAAGCTCCTTCTCTCCACCCCCTCCTGTTGGCCTCCCTTCGCGTTCCATTGGCTCCGTTTCGCTTTCCCCTCCTCCCGGGGGGGGGAAAGGGACAGCGAGGGATAGATAGAGAGCCTTTCCAGCGGGAGGGAGAGGGAGAGAGGGAGGGAGGGAGAGGAAGAGGGGGTAGCAGGGAGGGGAGGGAGAGGGAGAGGAAGGAAGAGGGAGAGGGATGGGGAGGGATGGGGGAGAGGGGGGACGGATAGGGAGGGCGGGAGGGAGAGGAGGAGGGAGGGAGAGCGAGTTTTCCCCCCCCCCCCCCCCCCTCTGCTTCCCTTCCTCCGCCCCTGTGCCCTCCCGTTTTATCCCCGTCTCACCTTCCCTTCCCCGTGCTCGCCCATCTCCTCCCCCTGACCCTCTCACCCTCCCCCGTCCCGCCCTCCATTCGTATATTCTGTCCCCTCTGTTTCTAGATTCCTCTGCTCTTCCCACTGTTCCTTGCCCTCCTAGGGAAGGCCGGGTGAGGAGGACGGACTATGGCGATGAGGAGGATGAGGAGGTGGATGCTGGTCTGCTGCCAGTGATGATGATGATGATGATGATGATGATGATG